CCGCCCCGCCAAGGCGCTGCTGGGCGGCGCCGTCCGCAAGGCCGCCGGCGGCGCCGGCGGGACGCGCGTGCTGCACCGCTGGACGTCCGAGGAGCACGCGCGGCTCGAGGCCCTTGTTCGGCAGTACGGCACCGAGCGCAACTGGGCGCTCATCGCGGAGGGCATCCGCGGGCGCAGCGGCAAGCAGTGCCGCGAGCGGTGGCTCAACCACATGCGGGAGGGTATCATCAAGTGAGGGCGTCGCGGTCGGGCAGGGGCGCAGGCGCGGGCCCATTGCACAGCCGCTGCGGGCATGCTTCGCAGCCGCGGTGCGGCGCGTGCTTCGCAGGCGCAGACCCCCGTGGTGCCGGCGCCTCGCCATTCCCCGCAGCCCAGCGGCACCACAGCGTGCCGAGCCTTCCCACCCCGCCCCCCTCACCACCCTTCCCACACTGACGCCCGCACCCCCTCCCTGCAAATCCCCTCCCCCGGCTGTACCGCTGCCCCCAAGGGGTAACTGGCTGCCTGATGAGGAGTTCCACCTGGCGCTCTGCCACGCCCTGGTTGGCAACCAGTGGTCGCAGCACTGCACCCGCCTCCGCGGCCGCACCGAGAACTCCATCAAGAACTACTGGAACGCGACGCTGCGGTCCAAGCAGGGCAGCAAGCGGCGCGGGTTCCTGTGGTGCTACATCGACAAGATCAGGGGCGCACTGGACAACGAGGGGCTCAGGCACCGCGCCTTTGGGGACACGGTGAGGGCGCCCGCCCAGGGACGCGGACGCGGAGGTCGCCCTGTGGGCAGGGGCGGGCCGCGGGGCCCGCGCGTGCAACGGGGTGCGCGGGGCGGGAGTCGGCAGGGGGGCCGTGGCCAGGGGGGTGCGAGCAGGCTGCTGAGGCCGTGCGTTCATCAAAAGCCCCTAACTGGCCCGTGAGCGCCCGGTGCAGCGGTCTGGTGCTGCGACGGTGTCATGTTGCACGGCGCCCATCCACCGCCACAGCCACCGACCCCACCCAACTTTGCTTTAAATCCCCTGATTCAACCCCTGTCCCGGTCCGTGCGGTCATTTGTCCCCCAGGTGCACGGGGTGCACCTGCACAATACGGGCTGGCTGCCCGCCTGGCTGCGCGCCCGCATCGCCAGCGGCGACCTGGCGGTGCCGCAGCCCGGCGACGCCCTTGGCGCTCGCGGCTGGAAGCGCCTGATTGACAAGGAGCTCGCGTTCCTCCGTGACAAGGACGGCGCCGCCTCTGCGACCACCGACATCCCCTTTCCAAACCCGTCCTCGCGCTCGGGCGCGGGGGGCGGCGCCGCGGGGGGCGGCGGGGCGGCGCTGCTGGCGCGGCCGCGGGATCGGGAGCGCGAGCGGGCGTCGGGGCGGCGGGAGCAGCAGCTTCAGGAGCAGCAGCTGCGGCAGCGGCAGCAAAAGCAGCAGCAGCGGCGGCAGCAGCAAGGAGGGCAGCAGCAAGAAGAGCAGCAGCAGCAGCAGCAGCAGCAGCAGCAGCAGCAGCAGCAGGAGCAGGAGCAGCAGCAACAGCCGCAGCAGCACTGGGTGCTGGAGCCAGAGCAAATCCTGCAGCTGCATCGTCACCAGCAGCAACAGCAACAGCAGCAGCAGCAGCAGCAGCAGCAGCAGCAGCAGCAGCAGCAGCAGCAGCAGCACCTGCAGCACCTGCAGTTTTACCAAATCACCACAGGCGCCTCCGGGGCTCATGGTTACCCAGACTCGCACGCTGCCGCCCCTGCCGCCGGCCTGCATCTCATGTGCAGCGCAGAGCTTGCGGACGTGATGCTGATGGGGGACATGGATGACGATGCGTATGGCTGCGAGGACGGGGATGACGAAGACGATGACGGTGATGACGCTGATGATGAGGCGGGTTGCGGCGATGTGAAGGTCAGGCCCGAGCTGCTCCTGCAGCAGCAACTGGGCACGCTCCGGCCCCACTACGCCAGCCAGCCGTGCGGGGCCGCCATCACCGAGGGGAGGCCCGCCCTGGACGCCGCGGAGGCCGCCACGGCCTCGGTCCCCGGACTGCCGCGCCTCGTCGTGACCGCGCAGCAGCCCGGTTGGTGGGGCTCGGCGGGCGGCGGCGCGTTCGCGGCGGCCGTTGCGGCGGCGGCGGCCGCGGCGCCCGCATCCAGCGCCGACGGCGAGCGCACGCCGGCGCTGTCGCGGGACCCGAGCTTCTGCGGTTCTGTGGGGTCGGCGGGCGGCGCCGCCCCCATCATGGCGCGCCTCCGCCTCGCCAGCGCCAGCCCTGCGCCCCACTCGCCGCTCGCGCAGCCCCAGCCGGGTGCTAACCCGTTTGCGCCTTCCGCCGCTGTTGCCGGCGGCAGCGGCCAGGCGCACGCGGGCTTGGTCCTACCAGCGGTTGGCCTGCCGAGGGTGTACCAGCCATCTTTGCTGTCGTCAGCCGCCTCTTATGGCAGTGAATACTCGGCGGCGAGCGCGATCCACGGCGGCGGCCGGCACGCGCAGGGCCAGGGGCCCCCGCCGCCAGGGGCTCTGTCAGGCAGCCCCACAATCAGCACCGAGGTGCCTGGCGGGGCGATGCTCTTTGCCGGCGTGCAGCAGCAGCAGCAACAGCACCACCTTCTGTTCCAGCAGCAGCAGCAGCAGCAGCAGCAGCAGCAGCAGCAGCAGCAGCAGGATGGCAGCCGCGGCAGTACGCCGGACTGCCGCGCTGCCACCGTGTGCTCCTCGCCTTTTGGCTCGCCCCACGCGCAGAGCAGGGGCGCGTTTGATTCCGCCTGGACGCCCGCGAGCAGCAGCGCTGCAGCAACCAGACTGGCAGACCCAACGCTGCCCATGTCACAAGCTGCACAGCCCGTGCTCAGCCGGTTTGCAGCTGGGCGTGGTGGTTATGCGTGCCAGCAAGCCCCAGGAGCAGCCGAGGTCTTTGATCCTTATGCCCCTGCACCGGCGCCCCATCTGCTGCCGCAGCAGCACCAATACCTCTACCACCATTCGCAGCACTATCAGGCGCCGCCCTCACTGATGCAGCAGCAGCAGCAGCAGCAGCAGCACCAGCAGCCGCTGCAGCAGCCGCTGCAGCAGCAGCAGCAGCAGCAGCTGCTGCAACCATCGCAGCAGCTGCAGCAACCATCGCAGCAGCAGCAACCATTGCAGCCGCAGCAGCAGCAGCAGCAGCAGCAGCAGCAGCAGCAGCAGCAGCAGCAGCAGCAGCAGCAGCAGCAGCAGCAGCAACAGCACGCTTTGCCGTCCCTCACCCGAACCGAGCCAAGCGCAGACGCGATGCTCCCTCCGCCGCGCGTCGTGTTGATGCAATACGCTGCTACCGGTGGTGAGGGCCGGCAGGGCGCTCAGCGAGGTGTTCCAGAGGGCGCTGCTGCACTGCTGCCCAACCCCACACGCGCGTCCTGCTGCGGCAGCATCGGCAGCGGCGACGCCGGCGTCCCGGGAAGCGCGGGTGTCAGGAGCAGCGGCGGCGGCGGGGTCGTCGGCGGCGGCTCGCTCAGCGCGAGCCTCGGCCTGCTGAGCAGCGGCAGCCTGCCGAGCATGCTGCGCGGCGACAGCGTGCTCCTGCTGGACGGCGCCCCCGGCCGCACATCCCCCTCACTGTCCGGCCCCCGCGGCCCGTCGCCGGGGACTGGCGCCGTGGGGCGGACGGCTGCGGTCGGGGGCGCGCCTGCCTTGGGCGTCCACGGCGGGCACGTCATGATGGGCAGCGCGGCGTCTGCAGACCTGACGGACGCTATCTGCAGGCTGGTGGGCGGCGACAGCATGCGCGAGGGTATGATGATGGATGCGGTGCTTGAGGATGTCCTGGCGTCGCCCTGACTCACATAACGAGCCAGGTGCTGCCAATGACAGATAGGCTGCAAGCAGGCTGGCTTTCTGCCATTGCGCAGGCGCCGAGCAAGCTGCATGCTTCTGATGGCGATCGCAGCGCCGCAATTGGGTGCTGGCTGTCTGTCAGTGGTGCGGCTCCGGGTGCCGGCAGGACTGCCCACCATCCGGAGGCAGAGTGTGTGTGGGTTGGCAGCCGCCTGGGCTCCCTGGCCCAGTGCGGAGAACCGCTGGAATATGGCGTGGAGAAGATGGTGCGGCGCCCCTCATCCAGTTTTGGCCACAGCAGAGTCGTCTGGTGGCGCCAGCGTGGGCCGCGTAGTGAGCGATGCTTTGTGCCTCAGCTTTTAGGGTGCCGAGGATGCGAGGGTCTGAGCGGGCACGCGCTGAAGGGCACTTGTGGCAGTGCGCGTGCAGCCGCCCCGTCTAAGACACCCTGTGAAGGCCCGACTTGGCTCGATCGACGAACCATGAGCTCAAGTGACTCATCCGCACACGGCCGTGGCTGTCGCATCAACCAGTTGTTTGTGATCGTGAGCGCCTGCGCGCCGTCACAGTGGTGCAATGCTGAGAGCCGCCACTCCCTGCAGGTCTCATCTGATATTTATTAGGGCATGGCTCATTACTGCGTGAGGGTGTGTGGTGCGGACCAGCTGAGGGGCTAGTCCGCTGCGGCGTGACCGGCCTGCAGCAATTGCTTTTTGTTGCGCAGCGCAAGCTTTGACAAGACCTGAAGGGGCTTTCACTCAAAGGTTCACAAGCTGACTGCTTTCAGGCCACACTTCTGGTCAGGCTGGCCTGGCCTTTGACGGACTAGTCGTCTTACGTATTGGCACGTGGAGCGGGCACACGCGCAGAGGAGTGGCCTGTTCCCGCGTGCAGCAAAGTCCATTCGTGCATACTTCAAGGCCACACTGTTCACATTACTGCTCGCGTCAATGGGCCTTCGCCAACTCTCTCGTCATACAAATTGCATCATACATGTGAAACTCCAGGCAGCTTCAAGACCGGCATGTGCAGTTGGGGTTCGCGGGCCAAACTGCAGGCAGCAGGTGCCAGGGAACGCACGCTTCGGCAGCTGATGTGGGCCATTGGCAAAGACGTCTTTCCTGGTACTTGAGAGCTTCATCATATGTGATGGCATTATCTATGTAATAATAGAGTAACGAAATACTTGTTCAGCTGGAAGGCTCATCAATGTCTTGCCGAATAGCAGGTAGCTACGCAAAGCCTGCACTCCACCACTCAACCACCCACGTATCCATGGAAATGGATTTCTAGCTGCACACCAAAACTGCACAGGATATACCTCAAGCTCCACTTCGCTGCGTGCAGCTCTCGGTAACGTCCAATTCCTCACTCGCCTGCACGCCTGCCTTGACCGCCAAAGCACCAGTCAACGAGCGCGCTCATCAGCAAGCCAGCACAGCTCACATATTGCTTAATAAAAATCGGTCCATCATACTCTTACAGCACATAGTCAGTGTCAAGGCCACAGCACGCCGGGGCTGCTCGAAGCGCGCGACACAAGCAGGCCGCGGACCTGGAAGCCCCAGCCGCCGCAGCACGAGTCGGTGTCGGTTATGGCTGACTACGATGAATACGCGTTCTTGGAGGCAGCAGTGGACGGCAAGCTGCCGCCCCCGCCCGCGTTGGAGCCAGCAGAGAAGCCTCGGGACTCCAGCAGGAGTAAGGACGGCGGTAGAGAGGAGAAGGAACGCAGCAGCAAGGAGAAGAGGCACCGCAGGTGGGCGAACAGGCGGGCACGAGTGATCTCGAGCACCAATCTGTCTTGTCGCAGCGGCTTTGTAGCATGTCCTCGTGCTATTCACAATGGTATCGTGCTTTGTCATGGCCTGCAGCCGCAGCAGAAGCCGCGACAAGGACCGAAAGCGCTCCAGCCGCGAGCGGGAGAGGGGCTCGTCGCGTGGAGACAAGGAGCGCCGCTCCTCGCGGGAGCGACGCTCTTCGCGGGAGCGCCGCTCCTCAAGGGAACGCGAGAGGGAGCGCCGCCCTGAACGCGAGCCCGACCGCGACCGCGATGCAAGGCGCCTGTCACCAGGCCGCGCCAGGTGCGGCCGCAGCGGCAGCGCAGCGCTCTCCTGCCTGCGCCCGCCCGCCCCTCGCCTCAGCAGCCGCCCGGCTCAGCCG